AACAAAACAAATCAAAGAATATATACAAAGGTCACTATATACCACATAATACAGAGTGAAGGAACTCTCCCACTGGGAATGAGCTAACTTAGCTCAACCAAGAGAGTGTTCTTGCTCTCACCCAAGGGGAAACTCCTTGAAGTCACTAGAATAGGGACATAATGGAGACTGCCAGTCCCTTTCATGTCTTCCTGGAGTCTTTTCCTTCAGCAACCTGAAGTGGGGTTGGCCTCTTCTGTCTTCTCTCTTGAAGATGGAACCAGGAGTACCCAACTTGAAGACGTGAAAAGTCTCTAAAGGAGAGCTGGCTGAGAACTGAAGCTCTTCTGCTCTCAACAACTCTGCCTCACCCCTCACACAGGGCAAGGCCTTTATCTCTACCAATGAGAATCCAATACCAATGGGCTTTAAGATAGAGATTACACCAGAAAATAGTGAGAGTGTCCTGGGATTCCACGTAACTTATAGGTTGATAGATTCAGAGCTGGAAGCTTCTAGTCCCAAAACATTCCTCTTCCTCAGTCTTACATATGAGGAAACTGACTTTCTGAGACTAGCAGAGAATCTTAGGTATGATTTCTCCTCATACTACCCTCTCCAAACATGAATCTCCTTCAAATAGTCTCTCTTGAATTTGTTTATTTTTGGTATTTATGCAGTCTGTTGTTTTGTTGTTGAGTTGTTCAGTCATGTTCCACTCTTTGTGACCCCATGGACCATAGGATGCCAGGCCCTTCTATCCTCTACTAACTCTCAAAGTCTGTCCAAATTCACGTTTGCTGTTTCCATGACACTATCTATCCATCTCCTCCTCTGCCGTCCCCTTTTCCTTTTGCCTTCAATCTTTTCCAACATCAGGGTCTTTTCCAATGAATCCTGTCTTCTCATTATGTGGCCAAAAGTATTTAAGCTTCAGTTTCAGTATTTGACCTTCCAGTGAATAACTTGAATTAATTTCTTCAGGTATTATTAGCTATTTATGCATTTGTTCCATGTTTATTCTTTATTACTCCAGGTAAGTCCTCTTCATGTCCAACCTTGTCAAATTTGGATAATAAATCCCCAAAAGTCAAGGATCATGTCCATGTGGCTTATTCTCTTCTGTGTCTAGCACAGTACTATGTGCCAAATAAATGCTTTCTTAATAATAACTATTATTATTATTACAGCTTGCATTTATATAGTCTTTTAAGTTTGCAAGGTTCTTTAGCACAATATCTCATTTTATGTTCAACAAACATGTGAATTAGTTGTTATTGTTAGCATTTCACAGATAAAGAAACTGAGACTCAGAGGTCAGGTAACTTACCCAGGTTAGTGCCAGTCAAGAGCTGACCCTGTCTTCTTGAGTCAAATCTGGCACTCTATTCAAAATATCCTGATGATTATATGCTGTTAACATATTTAAGCAAATCATTAAGTTGGTAATGACTGTGATCCCATGACTCTTTGTAGGCTCCTTAAGAGTGAGAACTATTTTTCATTTTAGAGTTAGATCCCTGGTACCTAGCACAGTTACAAGTGCATACCAGGTAAGTCATAAATTCCTCTTGCAACTTAACCACCCAGATAGTGCTCAGGTCAGTTTAGAGGGAAGTGTCCTTGAGTAGCTTGTTTGAAATGCAATATTCTGAAACTGTGAATAGCATAGAAAAGGTTAAAGGACACCAGAAAATTCTGAAAGAGTTAGAGTTTGGGAAATAACTAAGTCACTGAATCGTTGCTAATGTTCCTCTTGTAGTAAAGCCACAGATATTATTTATGTTCCTATCTTGCTTCCAGTGTGATTTAAGAATAGGAGGAGTAAAACCTTTAAATTCTTCTCTAGTTATGGCTTTGCCTGTGACAGTTAGGTTTGTCCCAACTGTTAAATCATTTTAGTTCCCTTTACCATAGTTTTTCTCTTTTGTAGACTAAAAAGAATATGACTTAAGATGTATGACAAGTTAATGGTTTTTTTGGAAATGTATTAAAAGTTGGAAAAATACTATGAATAATGTGGATTAATCTAAAGTTAGGCAGGGTGGAGGGAAGCACACTTAGAAAGAGTTGCTATGATAAACTTGGTTCAATTTCTTAGCCTCCAGGTTGCATGTTAGTGGACTGGGAAGACGAAATAGCCATACATTTATTATATAGCATGGGCAGCTAAGTGGCAGAGTGGACAGAGTGCCAGGCCTGGAGTCTGGAGGACCTGAGTTCAAATTTAGGCTTAGATACTTATTAACTATGCGGCCCTAGGCAAATCCCAATCCCATTTGCCTCAGTTTCCTGCTCTATAAAATGAGCTGGAGAAGGAAATGGCAAATCACTCCAGTATCTTTGCTAAGAAAACCCTAAATGAGGTCATGAAAAGTTGGATGCAATTAAAATGACTCAACAACTATATGGCATGAGTTAGTGGCCATATGTCAGTCATTAAAGGGAACTAATGACTTCTCCAGATCGAGATTAATGTGACATGATCTAAAACCTGGTTAATGACAGGAGACACTCTCTAGTTTCTCCATTCCCAAATTATTTTTTATATAGCTGGCAAAAATCTCCTCAATATGCAGGCATCATTATGTTGCTCCTCCTGAATATGTCACTCCTCTACTCAAAAGACTTCAGTAGCTCTCCATTGCTTGATAAAATCTTTGGTTTTTGGAAGGGTCTTAGAGGGCACTGAGTCTAGTCCTCTCGTTTTAAAAATGAAGAAACTAAAGCTTGGAGAGATTAAATGACTTGCGCAAGGTCACACAGGTAGAAAGAGCTAAGATTTGACCTCTGGTACTTTGAAATCCAATGCTCTTTCTTTTATACCAAGGTATCTTCCCACAAGTGTCTTGCCCTGGCATCTAGGGCCTTCTACAATCTGGCTCTGCCCTATTTTGTGGCCTCATTTCCCTCTTCCCTCCTTTACCTTTTCCTCTATGTATTAGCTAAACTGGATTGCTTGTTCACTAATTCCTTGTATTCCCATCAGTTGTTCCACATGCCTCAACAGTATTCTCTCCACATTTCTACTCCCTAAAATCTTTCTTTTCCTTTCAAGGCCTAGTTCAGGTGTCACTTCTGGAATAAAGTCTCCAAATCCCAGTAGATGAAAGTGATCTCTCCCTCCTCATGAGCATTATAAGATTATAGCACTTTAAGATTCTCCTTTTCTTCAGACTCATTTGTATATGTTTTATCCTGCCTCCTCCCTACAGTAGTTAATAATCCTAAGAGTGGAACCGTTATTCTTTTTTTGTTGTTGTTTTGTTCTGTTTTTTTTGGGGGGGGTTTTGGTGAGGCAATTGGGGTTAAGTGACTTGCCCAGGGTCACATGGCTAATGCGTGTTATGTGTCTGAGACCAGATTTGAACTCAGGTCCTCCTGACTCCAGGGCCGGTGCTCTATCCACTGTGCTACTTAGCTGCCCCCGGAACTGTTATTCTTCATCTTATCCTCAGGGTTTACTTAACACAGTGTCTAATATGAAGCTGGTGCATCCTCAAGAGGAGGTGACTTCCCTTTTACTAAAGATCTGCAAACAAAGGTTGCATGACCATTTCTTGGGGATATTGTAGAAGAGAGTTTCAGTTTTAATGTATTATACTAGATAGTCTCCAAGGTCCTTTCAAATTCTAAGTGCCCAAGCTACCAGTAGCCACATGAAAAAATACTCCAAATCACTAATAGAGAAATGCAAAATAAAGCAACTCTAAGGTTCTACCTCATACCCAATAGATTAGCAAAGTTGACAAAAAAAAAAAGAAAAGAAAATGACAAATGTTTGAGAGGCTGTGGGAAAACAGGCACATTGACGCACTGTTGATAGAGCTGTGAATGGGTCCAACAATTCTAGAAGCAATTTGGAATTAGGCCAAAAGGTCAATAAGCTGTACTTGCCCTTCTACCCAGTGAATATCACTAGTAGTCCATTAGCCCTAAAGAAATCAAAGAAAGAGGAAAAGGTCCATATGTACAAAAATATTTACAGTAGCTCTTTTTGTAGTGGCAAAGAACTGGAAACTAAGGTGGTAGCCATTAATTGTTGGAGGACTGAACAAATTATGGTTATATTAATATAATGGAATACTATTGTTGTATAAGAAATGATGAAGGGGGTGGTTTCAGAGGAGCCAGGGAAGATTTATATGTACTGACACAAAGTAAGCAGAACAAGAGCAATTTATGCTATAATAATATTGTAAAGAGGAACAATTCTGAGAAACTCAAGAGCTCTGATCAAAGATATGATCAACCATGATTCCAACAGACCAAGGAAGACTCCTGCCCACAGGGACAGCTAGGTGGCAACGGATAGAGCACCAGCCCTGACGTCAGGAGGTCAAATCTGACTTCAAACTAAATACTTGACATTTACTAGCTGTGTGACCTTGGGCAAGTCATTTAACCCCAATTGCCTTTAAAAAAAAACCCTGCCCACCCTCATGAAAATGAGATGTTGGACTAATATGCAGAATAAGGGGCCACATGGGAATTTGTTTTGCTTGATTATGCTTATTGATATAAGGGTTCCTTCCTGCCTGTCTTTGCTCTTTTCTTTCCTTTCCTTCTTTCTTCTTCTTTTTTTTCCAGTGGGTAGGGGGGTAGTGGGAGAGGAAAATGCTTTTGGTAACTGAAAAAAATTTTAAAAGTTATTTTGAAAATTCTGAGGTTGCTGATTCTGCTCAATGGATGTTTGTATTAGGGAGGGTGGAGGGAAGCTGGCTTTGACAGTTACCGGAATAAACTGTAATCAATTTCTGGGTCTCAGGGGTTGTACTGTAGCACAATTGGGCGTGTAATTTTATCTGAAGCATGAAGAGAACTCTGTCCATTTCCTATTTCCTTGCTCTCCCTCACTCTCTCCATATGCCAGGAAATTTGCTAGGGCGTGTCTCTCCCTTTCCAGGGATGGTGGGGAATTCAGCAACTACTAATTATTCCTAATCTGTGACTGGAAAACCTATCCTTTTAAAGAAACTTTGAAAGTTTTCTCTTCCGGGATGAAGATAACAACTCCTTTCCCCAAAACAGTTCAGAGACAGCTGCTATTCAGCTGCCAAGAATTTGCACCTCAGCGGCCTAGAGAGCATTATCCCTCAGCTGGCCTCTCTGGTGAGGTAAGAGGCGGAGTTGGCCGGCTTTTTTCCTGCTGTATCCGCTCATCCAAGGTCTCCATTGGGTAAGGCCCTTTGGGGCCAGGATATAAGAGAACGGATCAGTTGTCCCTCACTCCAGTGCTGAAGCAAAAGTCCCAAGCCGCAACCTCTTAAAACGGACCAGTGAGCAGCAGTTCAGTAGTCAAAGCTACAGGTGACTGGAGGGAGGAAACATTGAGTTTTAAAAGGTAACTGGTTCAATATTGAGAAAGTATTTACCTGAGCATGTTTGGGTGGGTGGGGGAATACACGCATACATTTGTTTCTGAGTGTGTCTGCTCAGAGACAGTGAGTTCAGGAGTTTTTGTTAGTCGAATGGAACAGTGGGGGAAGGGGACGCAGTTGTCTATCTCTGGAGAAGGAAGCTCACACCACATCTCTTTCTTCAATAGAAATATTTCCAATCTTCCCTCCCTGCCTTAGAGTCGGGGAAATGCGATTTTTAGAGAAACTACGCGACTCCACGGGAGTGAGCACGGCCCTGGAGCCCGAGAAGGCAGCTGTGGATTTCGTGTCCAAGAGCCCGGCAGTGTCTCCGTTCTGCAACGTGCTCACTCCGGGGCGCATCCCGGCTTTCTGCATCCCACCCCGGCTACCTTCCCACGCCGTTCCTGCTTTCCAGCCTCTTGACTCCTCTACCTCCACTCCCCGACGTTGCACTGTGGAACCTGACATGTGGTCTCACAGTCAGAACTCAAGCAGCAGCACTGGGCAGGTGGCGCTGCGGCCAGCGCTTGTGGGAGCCAGGAAGGACCCAGACCTCACCGACTGGGACCCGCGCTCGCAGGCTGCCCTCTCGCTGCCGCACCTGCCGCGCCGGCCGACCTCGTATGGCTTCTGCGCGCTGCTGGAGAGCCCGAATACCCGCCGCAAGGAATCCCTCTTCCTCGGGGGCTCTGCAGCCACTGCCGCCCTTGTCCTGCAGTCCCCGCGGCCTCGGGCTCACACCTACTGCGGTGGCGGCGGCACCAACGCTTCCTATAACCCACGTGGGCAGAGGGGCATGCCAGGCGGCCCCGACACTGCCTCTTCCTCCTCTGTCAGCTCATCCCCCTGCGCTTCCCCGCGGTCCCGGGACGCTCCCGCCCCTTGCTCCCGGAGCCGTCCGCGCTATCGCCGCCTCCTTCAGGCCCCGGACTCGCTCTTTGGCCGGGCGCTGCGAGTTAGTGGGAGCCGCGTTCTGGCCCGGGCCCGCTCAGTCTCCAGCGCTGAAGATGATGATGAGGACTATGATGCCGTCCGGGACGCAGGTCGCGTCACCCTGCCAGCCACCTGCCAGCCCGACTCTGCTCGGGCACGGGCTCCATCCCCAACCCCGTCCCCATCCCCTCTGGGCCCACAGCAGGAACGCCTGGAGGTCGAGACCACCGTGGCCCTGGACCACGACGGCGGGGCCCTGCACTTGGCGACCAAGTACTGTCCGGTGTCCCGGCGGCTGCGCATCCGCCTGCTCAGAGCCGAGGGTCTCTACAGCCGCACCACTGAGCCGGGGGCCATCGGCTGCAGAGTCAGCTTCACCTTGGTACCTCCCGGCAAGACGCGCAAACAACGCAGCGCCGTGGTCCGGCGGAGCCGAAATCCAGTCTTTAACGAGGACTTCTTTTTCGACGGATTGTCGGAGGACGACCTGCGGCGCACAGCTGTGAGGGTCAAGGCCGAGAACAAGGGCCGGGGCCTGGAGCGGGACCGTTTGCTGGGCCAGGGAGAGTTGGAGCTGAGATCCATACTTCTCTGACAGTGGCCCAGCTTCACTCCTCCATTCCTGGTGCTTTCTGTTAACCCCAGGAGGCCTGGGCCCTGGCAGCTATTTTGTAAAAAGAAATAAAGTTTTATTTATTTTTACGCAAATATTTTTTCTAATTTAGAATTTAGCTATTAGAAACATGTCTCTAAATGGGCTTTCATGTTAAAGGAAACAAAAGTCATTCAACTGATTTCTACTAACATAACCAATTCATAGCATTCTGAGTCATTTTTAATATCCAAACAGGAAAGGACTGGTTTTGAGTGTAGTACTGGGCGGTGGGGGTGGGGGAAACAGTGTTCCCCATTTCTAGATAATGACCTCCCTGCAGGTGCTTCTTTGATCACTTCTTCCCCGTTTCTAATAGAAATGCACTCTCTCATAGGAAACACAGCAAAAGATATCCACTGAATGTTTAGCAAACATTACAACTTATAATCTACTAGAGGAGACTGACGTATTAAAAATAATGATAAATGGAGAATGTGATGGGGGCAACTGGGAGATCCAAGCCCAGTACCTCAGAACAATTTGAGGAGGGAGAGATTACTTGCAGCTGTTTAAGGCTCCATGAATTGGTAGAAACTGTACTTGACCTTAAGGTAAGAGAGGGATTTCAACAGGTGGAAAAAATGATCCCATATCCCCTGCTTACTTTACTACCTGTGTGACCTTGGGCAAGTCATTTGACCTCACTGGGCCTCGGTTCCCCCTCTGTAAAAATAAGAGGGTTTGGCTAGGTGCCCTCTGGGTTGTCTCCCTTAGATGTATGCTTTTGAGGCATAGGGTACAAAAACATTTTTCGGTGCAGGAAGGCAGTAAATTGCAGGAAATGAACAGCTCAGCTGGAATGTGGAGTGAATGTGGAATAATGTGAAATGAGATTGGGAATGTAGGTTGGAATAAGATTATAAAAACCCCACTAAGCAATACCCTATAAGCAAAGGGAGGCCTTGAGGCTTTTGCATAGGAAGGGACATGCTCAGAACTGGGAATGAAAGTTATTTGGGAAGCTGGGTGAGGATGAATTCAAGACTGGAGGTAGAAAAACCAATTAGGAGGCTATTACAGTATTGGGGGAGGGAGGATTGTGAAGGCTTGGACCAAGGTAGTTGCAAGTATGAGCCAAGAGGAGGAAAGGCAAGATACTCGAGAGGTAATATGCATGAGACTTGGCAATAGAATGTAAGCTTCTCCAGGATAGGGATTTCTTTTGTTTTTCCTTTGTATTTCCAGGGCTTACCACAGTTAGGGGCACATAGTAAGTGCTTAATACATGCTTTTTGGTCGATTGGTTGGCTGTAAGGAATCAGGTAAAGGGAAGAGCCAAAGCTGATGAACTTGGGATGAAGACCATGTCATTCATGGAGATAGGGAGATGGTGTAGGGGCAGCGTGGTTGGTTCGTTTTAGGATTTGTTGATTTTAAGGAGCATTGATGTTCAGGTGAAGATGATTATTAGGCAGTTGGAGACATAGAACTGAAGGTAGAAGAAGAAATCGGGGTAGCATTTGGTCCTCATCTGCCTAGATGTTCTATGGTTCCTTGCCATGTTGATATTTCTCCCCATTTCTATGCTCTGTTATTCTACTGCCACTTCGTATCTCAGGTGCCAGCTGTTCTTCCCTGGGGTCCCCATAGATGTAGTGATACAATGCCCTACCTTACAGGACTCTATCCAGATTCCCGTGTGTTTGGTTCATTCCCTCCAGGGACATGTGTATGTAGTGGCCTTTAGCACAGATCTCTTTCCAGGTCTGTATGCCTCTCAGCAGCCTTAGCCCTCATATGGATACCCATCCGTATTTGCTACCACCCACAGGTCCAAATGGTGCTGTTCTGTGAGGCCTGAACGTTTTTTCTAACACCTGAAAGCAATCACCCTCTGGCATCCTCTTTGCATGAAGAAGATAGAGAGGGATTCATGACTATGTAGATTTAGGTTTCTTCATCATCATTATCATCATGTTCATTAATTCTTCAAACATTTAATAAGAATCTAATATGTGTAATATCCTAGGTTAGACTGTGTGTGTAGATATTGGGGAGGAACACAAAGATGAAGAATATTAGCTCATATTCATATAGCACTTTAATATTTACAAAACACTTTAATGTATTATCTCATTTAATCCTTATAGAAACCCAGTATGGTAGATGATATTATCCCCATTTTACAGATAAGAAAGCTAAGGCTCTGAAAAATTAAATTCCTGTTTGAGGCAGCTAGGGGGCACAATGAAGAGAGGTCTGGGTCTGGGGTCAGAAAAACCTTAGTTCAAACCCAGCCTCAGACATTTTCTAATTGTGTAACCCTGGGTATGTGTCACATAATTTCTGTCTGCTTCAGTTTCCTCAACTGTAAAATGGGGATCATAATAACACCTACCTTCCTGAGTTGTGAAGATCAAATGAGAAAGTATTGGTTAAGTGCTTAGCACAGTATCTGGTATGTTGTAGGTGTCTAATAAATGCCTGTTTTCTTCCCCTTTCCCAGGATCACACAGCTAAGCAAGTCTCTGTGGAGGAATTTGAACCTAAGTTTTCCTGACTCCAAGACTAGAGCTCTATCTTCTATCCACTATGCCATATTAGTATGTGTGATGAGATGACATTTGTACACATCCCCCCCACATTAATAGAAATATGATAGAAAATTAGAATGTAATGGAAATTAGAATATGGCAAGTGCATAAAAGGAGTACAAAGTGCTTTCTTACTATTATTTGAATGGCTGATTCAACCTGATACATGGAACTGCTCTAGGCTTTTTATTTGTCCTGACAATGAGACAGACTAGGGACACTAGAATTTTACTATAAGCATTAAGATAACATCCGGTAAAGTTATCTGACTGGAGCAGATGATTCAGTATTTGGGCTTTTGGCTCCTTGCAGTGTAAGACAATAGCATATGTGCTAAAAGAATTCCCTCTCCCTCACACTGCATCCCCAGCTCTAGTGTTAATCTAAAGTGCTTTGTGTGGCCACAGGTTCTAAAAGGTATCTTCTCAGGAATGCTTAAGAATATGAAAAAAAAACCAAATGTGACCACACAATAAATACCTCTCTACCTACTTCAATCCAGGCATTTAGTCAGAGAAGTCAATGAATGTTCAAGGGATTAACAGTTCAATCTCGTCATTGTACAGTTGAGAGTAGTGGAGCCCAAGGAAGTAAAATGACTTACTCAAGCTAACCTAGTTATTTAAAGAGCCAGGACTAGCAACCCTGTGGACCAATATTCATCTTTGCACTAAATCACACTATTTCTCACTTACGACCTACAGTTACATATTTAGGTTTTGAACTAGTGTTTTCGTAGTAACAAATAGGTACGGAGTAGGACTTCATTTGCCAGAGTGGTTTGTGTGCCTCAGTATTTGAGGGTCATCTATGTTATCTTTTTCTCTTTCTGGGAAGGCAGGTGCTCTCTCCAATCTGCTACTGAATGTCTTTGATAAGCTTACCTAAAGAAGAGAAGAAGAAAAAGATTAGCTAATCTTTTGGACCCAGCTTCTAAGGTTGGGCCTGTAGGTTTACATGATGAAAATTCGAATTTGGTTGATCCTAATTCAGACTAATTAGGTAGTGGTGAGGAAGAGAGGGAAGGCTAACCTAAATTAATGAAAAGCCTGGGTCTTATAATATTTTGGAAAAAATACATTTTACTTACATTAATACATTAATTAACAATACAAATAATATATTACTTACAAGAACACACAGTAACTTGAGCCAAACTAACAAAGCATTGACTAAAGTGCTTTTCTCAAGTGGCAATCTTTATAATATTCTTCAGCAAATCCTTTCTTCAGAAGTTGAGTCCTTACCTAGTAAGAGGATAAAGGACCTTGGATTTTGTGTTTTATGATTAAAGGTGTTGAACTCAGGTGCTCCTGACTCCAGAGCCTGTAAGTCTATCCACTGAACTATAATTATTTTATTAGGGATGCTAGTGCCTTTCTTGGCTATGGTAAACTGACTTTAATTGAAATATTCAGTCCTTTGTGGTTTTCACCCTCCAATCTGAACATGTCGAAATGTGCTCAGGCCAGGCACATTTCATTTTATAGATTCCCTTTTATAGACATCTGTGGGCTCCAACCTAAAGTCTGTACAAAGGGCAGCCTGGTAGAAACATGTTTGGTTAGCTGGATGCTAAATGACACAAACATGAAGAGTCTGATCCTTCCATTCCATTGATTGCACATTTCAAAAAGCCATATGCCATATTCCAGAGAAAAGTGCAACAGTCCATCTGACATGAGTTACTAAAATACATCTTGAAATAGAACAGCTCAAGCATTTCTCATAACATGGAAAATCAGTCCCTTGGCATAGTGGCATATAACAAAAAAAAGGGAAAGAGTACATTTCCTATAAATACCCTCTTTTTAAAGTTTTATCAGAGTTGCAAAGTTGTTACTTGCTATTTATCACTAATAAGACATTTATATTATTTTTTTGTTTGGCATATTTTTATTTTTGCAAACAAATAAGAAGGTCACTACTTCCCTGAAGACTCATTAGCTATTCTGGTATGTTGGATAATTGTGCTGTATATCCAATTGCTCCATATGGGTACAGGTTAATATCTCTTCATTGTTTCAGTTACTCAGGCTTAAGAACTCAGTTATATCATATCATATCATATCATATCATATCATATCAAAGATTTAGGGGTAAAAGAGACCTTTGTGGTCATCTAGTCCAGCCCCTTATTATATGGCTGAGAAAACTGAAAACTGACATACATAAGTAACACAAGTGGTAAATGACAGATTCAGGGTTTGAATCTGACTCCTCTGGCTCTAAATTCAGTTTACTTTTCATTGAACCTCCTAGCAATTTTGATTTTATATCTAATAAGAGACCAAGTCCTGTTGATTCTTCTTTCAAAGTGCTTTTTGAACTTTATCTGTTTCTTTCCATTTTCTCTGCTGCCATTCATTTTCTTAGTCCTTATCACCTCACACATAGGTTGGTTGAAGCAGCCTGCTACTGGTGAGCCCTGACAATTATCTCCAGATCAGCCTTCCTAAAACATTGTCCTCATCATGTCACTCCAATGATCCAAAACTTTCAATGACTTTTTA